GCGATGGTCAGGTTAGGGGAAAACGGGTTGGGGATAGGACTAGCACCATTTCTTAAGTCCCTGTCACCTCTTCCTTGACTCTTCTGAGTGCCTTCTGTGGGGACTCCGGCTGTGCTGGGAGAAATACTTGAACTTGCCTCTTTTACCTGCTGCTTCTCCAAAAATCTGCCCGGGTTTGGTTTTCCCTGTTTTTCTCTCCCGCCCCCTTCTCCCCACCCTTCATATGAAAGGTGCCATGGAAGAGGCTACAGGGCCAAACGCTGAGCCACCTGCCCTTTTTCTGGTCTTCCTTTTTGGTTTTTACTTAACTGTTTCAAAGCCAAGACCTCACACACACAAAATGCACAAACAATGCAAAATCAACAGAAAAACTGTAAATGTGTGTACAGTTGGCATGATAGTGTACAAAAGGATTGTAGTTGATCTAATTTTAAAAACCTTTTGCCTTTAAGTTATTTTACCTGTTGTTCTTTTTTAGTTTTGTTTTTCGGGTTTTTTTTGTTTTTTGGTTTTTTTTTTTTGTTTTTTTGAAAGATGCGCATTCTAACCTGGAGGTCAACGTTATGTATTTATTTATTTATTTATTTGGTTCCCTTCAGCTCCAAGCTTCCACGGCTGCTGCCATAGTTTTCTTTTCCTCCTCTAACTTGGGGACCTTTTGGGGGAGGGCTACGACACTTGCTCTGTTCTTAGGGTGATGGGGCTCAGGCGGGACTGCTGCAGGCCCCTCTCGCCTGCTTACCCAAGTGGGTGGGTTCTGTGGGGAGGGGAGTTGCGACTTGTGTACATAGGGTAGATAGCTGGAAACCAGTTCTGGACAGTGTGCCTTCCGGATCCTCTCTGGGGCTGTGTTTTGAGCAGCACGTAGCCTGCTGGTTTTATCTGAGTGAAATACTGTACAGGGGAATAAAAGATAATCTTATTTTTTTTTTTTATACCTGGCGTTTTTTGAATAAAAACCTTTTATCTTAACTTGTGGCTTCTAAGTGTTATCTATGCAGACTTGCTAATGCGCTCTTATTAAACCACTTGGTAAGTGTCAAAATCTAACCTAGGAGGAAAAAGGGAATTTCAGCTTAAATCAGGTTCCTTCAACAGGACTTCTGGGAATAATCGCTTTTCTGAAACAATTCCCAGTCTCTGTTCCTAATGCAAATTCTAGTTTCTCTAATACAGCACGGGGGGCTATTTCCCAGTTGCACTAGTCACATTTCATGAAATAGCTGCTTGTGACGAGGGGCCCAGGAAATGGAGGACATTCCCATCATTGCAGAAGGTTCTAGTGAGCAGGGCTGAGTTGTCAAACAGCCCTACTGTCCCCCACTAGTAAAACAGCATGAACCCATACTACATATTACAGTTATTAGAAAAACTAATTACTCTTAGTTTACTGACTCAAGTTTCCTTCATATGCAGTGTGGGGTTTGGTCATGAATAATGGTGGATGAGGGGAAATGCACTTTTTGATAAGCAGACAGGACTTTCCCCTCCAACGTGCTTGACAACCGGTTTATAAACAAGTAGGGGCTCAGTGCACGAAATCGTGCGGGTAGGGTCCCTTGGCCTAGTCCCCTGCGATCAGGGCCATCTTCTGCCCATTCGCCAGCCCCAGGCTGAATGCCGCCTCTGCCGCCGGGCTGTCAGGCCATTGGGGTCACCAGCTCATCCCCGGCTGCTCTGGGGCTCAGGCCTGTGGGAAAGCGGGCACTGTCGACTTCACCTCCATGTGTGTGCACCGGGCTGGCCACGGATAGAACACGCTGCCCGCTCAGGGCCACTCACGCAGGTGCCACCGCCACCACTGCTGCTGCTGGGGCTTGAGGTGCTGACAGAAGTTGCGACCTACCCACCCCGGCATGAGCGCCGGTGCCCGCTTCCTGCAGGCCTGAGCCCCCAAGCAGCTGGGGATGAGCTGGTGATCCCAACAGCCTGACAGCCAGCCCAGTCCTCCCGCCACCCACCCCGATTCCCCCGTTCACCATTGCTGATCCATCGGAGCCTGCGGGCCGGGGGGCAAGGACCAAGAGGTGCTCAATGCACCTCATGGTGACCGGTCATTTGGTCGTCCTGGTCGTCACAGACATGGCTTTTTATATCTCTATATAAAAGGCTAAATTGACTCGCACACGCGCAATACATAAAAGCTCTCGCTGGCGCCAATCACACACGTGTGTTTCGATCTGTCATTGTTGATCGTGATTTTGGTTGACACTTCTATTATAGAGAAAGGGCGAATAGCGATATTAAATATTTCTTCTAATTAATTTCCTTTCAATGTGCACGAATTCGTGCACTGGGACACTAGTATATAGATAAGTGAGATGTTCAATTTTCTTCCATTATCCCTGGTTGAGATAATTAGTATTTGTAGTACGTTGTTTCTTTGCAGGAATCTTTAAGCCCCTTATTCATTTATATATACATTTTTTTTAATCCTTACCCAAGGATACGTTTACTAATTTTATACTGAGTGGGAGATAGAGAAACAGCACTTGGCTGCCCTCCCCCACCCCCATACATGCCCGGACCTGGGACAAATGTGAAACCCAGGTATGTGCCCTGACCGGGAATCAAACCCCGGGACCTTTTGCTGTACACCTTTTGGCTTACGGGATGTTGCTCCCACCAACCGAGCAACCCGACCAGGGCCCTTGTTCATTTCTTGAGTTTCCTTTAAACTGGATGGTAGATAGGACCGCCTGGTGGAGGCCTGCTGTGCTGAAAGCACACTCAATTTGCATAAGTATTAGTAAAGGTGGGCTTCTTGCTCATGAGCATCGGCAGCAGTTCTAACATTCTCCCCTGTGGGTCATCTTGTCCTCTCCCCTTGGTGCATACACACATCCTTTGGACACTGGCCAGGATGCTGTCTTATCAAGATGCTTGAGAGTCCAGGCTGTAATACCCATCACTTCTCATTGTCTACCCTTCAGCTTGGATTAGATCCCAAACCCTAGCTCTACCCCTGTGGCTGCAGGAGAGGAAGGGAGGATTTCTTGGTTCTGGGGGCTGATTTTCTAAGTTCCCCTTTTCCCTCCCTTCCCCCATCTCACAACCTCTTGGAACAAGAGGGTTGCATGCCTCATCCTTTCCAGTAAAGTTGACACGTGAATAATTAAAAATTGCTCCAAACTTGTAACGAAATCTAGTAAAGCCCCACCCTTGTTCCCCTTGAGTTTCTGGCAGTTCCCCATCCTCTACTGAGACTACTAAGGGTCTCTGAAGAAATACGTATCATGCTTCTGTTGGGTACAAAATACTAGGGGTTGTATAGGAAGGGTGACAGATCACATGTAGTCTCTTTTTTAAAGTCTAGTGTGGAACGGAAGTCAGATAACTAATATGACTGTGTGGCCAGAAGGATATAGAGGGAGCAAGCTTTAGGAGCATCACCTTGGGAACCCTCCTCGGCCTTTGAAGCCTACCACCTCTTACCTGGATGCCTTGGGCAAGGCATGCCCTCTGAGGCTAATCTCCAAATAGAGCTACTCCTGGATTGGATTATTAGGAAGATTCTTTTTAAATAATGGGAAGATTGAGTTAAATATGAGAGTACTTATGCAAACAAATACTAGCTCCTGCTTATGGATGCAGATGTATATGCAGTAAAAGTACTATAAAGTACAGGGCAATAAAGTCCCAAAGTCAGGATAGTGGTTATTGCTTCTGGGGAGGAGGCAGGGAGGTTGGGATTTTGGGAGGGATATCTGTACGGGGCCTTTCGACTATTTGGGCAAGGCTTCATTTCATAAGCCAGATGGCAAAGATTAAGGTGTTTGCATTATTCTTTTTTTTAATTGAGTTTATTGGAGTGGCATTGGTTAATAAAATTATATAGGTTTCAGGTGTACAATTCTATAAGACATCATCTGTATATTGTACTGTGTGTTCACCACCTAAAGCCAAGTCTCCTTCCATCACTATTTATCCCTCCTTTACCCTCTTCTACCATTCTTTATTATTATTATTATTATTATTATTATTATTGATTTTTAGAGAGAGAGGAAGGGAGGAAAGGAGAGGGAGAGAGAAGCATTGATGTGAGAGAGAACCATCAATCAGCTGCCTCCGGCACACCCCCTACTAAGGATTGAACCAGCAACCCCTCCATGTGCCCTGACCGGGAATCGAACTGGCAACCTTTTGATGCACAGGATGATGCCCAACCAACTGAGCCACACTGGCCAGGGTCACCCTGCATTATTCTGTATAGATTTTTTAATCTTAAATATTTCATGATAAATTTTTATTTTATTATATTTATTGATTTTTAGAGAGGATAAGAGAAAGAGAAGGAGAGAGAGAAACATTGACTTGTTGTCCCACTCATTTATGCATTCATTGGTTGATTCTTATAAGTGCCCTGACTGGGGATCGAACCAGCAACCTTGGCATATCCAGGACAATGCTCCACTCAAGTGAGCTACCTGTCCCGAGCCTCATGATAAAATGTAAAAAGTAATGAACAAATTAGTGCTTATCACATAGGAGAGAGTGCCTCCTTGGCTGAGGTGATCTGGGAAGGCTTCAAAGAGGAGGCAACATTTCAACTGGACTTAAAGGATGAGCCTCGGTTTGTTCACCTGTAAATTGAACATGCAGATAGAGCAGAGAAGTCCAGGAGGGCTGATGTTTTCCCCCATTATATCAGGGATCAGCACAGTACGGCCTGCTGACCAAGTCTGGCA